TGATGCAACAGAACCTTTAAGATTAACTATTTCTTTAGTCAACTTCAAATTCCGATTGTCTTCACTGGGAATCTCCTGCTTAAAATTAAGGAAATTTTTAAGCATATGAGAATCAAGAACTAATCTTATCTGCCTATGTGATTTTCATTACTGTATTGGTTAACTTCATAGTTGTTAATGTTGTTAGCAATCTTGCCCCAAGACGGATTAGTGACTACTGAGGCTTGGTAATTCAGTTAGAAACCCACCTTATCGCAAGGATGTTCTGCTTGACATTGGTAGGCTGTTATATTAAGAATTCATTCCCCACTGGGACATTAGTTTGGTATTTCAGGACTCCTTAAAAGCTACATTTTGAAGGATCAGCATCCTGTTCATTATTACATCATTTTATGAAAAAAGCTTACCAGTAGCTACTATCTTTGCTATGAGAATATAGGAGATACAAATCAGTATGAATGACCCACCACATACTGTGCTTTTGAGGGATTGTCTATGTTTTAGGAATCTTTCCAAAGTAACATTGGAATTTCACTTGAAGCCAGGGGGATATCTGTAGTCATTCTGTACGGCTGTTACTAACAGCAGTCCAAATAAATGGGTTATATGTGTGCATGGGTTGTTGAAGAGGATGGTAGGTGTACAAAAAGATTAGTTAGGCAGAACCCTTCGTACATTGTGGCCCATGTATCTGGAGCACAAGTTAGGCCAGAGCTCTATCCACTCTTTCACCAGCAACATTTCACGGATGTTGCACTTGATAGAGCAATCTGACAATAACAGGAGTTCTTATGGTCATGTTATCTTCTCTCTGACCTTCCCTTCCTTCTTGCAGTCTCCCTTGACACGGAGTGTATTCTAAGAAGAGTTTCTAAACTAAAAGAGGGGAGATTTAAATTAGATGTTAGGAAGAAATTCTTCACTCAGAAGGTGGTGAGGCACTGGAACAAGTTGCCCAGAGACGCTGTGGATGCCCATCCCTGTAGGTTTTTCAAGGCCAGGTGGGACGAGACCCAGGGCAACCTAATCTAGTGGGTGGCTGGCATCCGTACCCATGGTGGGTGGGTTGGAATTGGATGGACTTTAAGGTCCCTTCCAACCCAAGCTGTTCTGTGGTTCTGTGATAAAGTGTGATTTACATATGCCCAGGTGAGGTACTGCAACTGAAAAAAGCCCAAACATATATACACCAGCTGTGGGAATGAATATGTAAATACCTTTAAGAATTCTTGTTATTTGTAAATAACCTCCCTTTCAGAGGGACATTGCCATAGAAAAATCTACAAAAATCCTTATGTATTCTTATACAAATACTAGTAGTAACATTAGAGCACAATTAGTTTGAGCATCATATGTAATTAAAATTTGAAACACCCTCAATATACTTTTGTACAGGAAACACTAATTCCAAGGTACGTTCTATTTTCAAAAAAAAAAAAAGGAAAAAAGAAGAAAAAAAAGTAAAGATTTTAAAGATACTAAATTAGGTGACTTGAAAGGATCTAAAATACATCAGTGGTTTCTTCTTCAAAGATGAGATTGAAAAAGCTACCATGATCACACCTACAAGAAAAAATGGTATAACACTAAAAAGTTACCAGTTAAAATTTTTACTTGTCTTTCTTCCTTTGATGTAAAGAAAATCTTTTGAGATGAATGTGGACTTAAAAAAAAAAAACAGTGAAATTACTCAAGGAATATAGTAGAAAACTTAACCTTTTGACTTCTGCCAAGTGTCCCAAAATCTACTAAAAATGTTCAAGGTGATTCAATGAAATGAGTTCAAAGCACTAACATCTCATCTGCAGCAAAGAGCTGAAATAGCCCTTTTGTTTGAGAAGTTTTCCCATTCCATTTCCATATTCCTCCTTCTTTCTGTGACAGTCTATTCTTTGTCTTAAACTCTTTCTCTTTCTCTTTAACTTCCCACTTTTCCTATTTTTCAGTGTTGAAATTCCTAGACTCCTGCCAGATCACTTGTTTCCTTCTGAGCTGAGTCAGTGTCCTGGTTTCAGTTAGAACAGAGTTGATTTTCTTCCTAGTAGCTGGTGGAATGCAGTATTTTGGCTTAGGATGAGAAGAGTGCTGATAACACTCCGATGTTTTAGTTGTTGCAGAGCAGTGCTTATACTAAGCCAAGGACATCTCAGCTTCTTGCTCTGTCCTGCCAACGGGCAGGCTGGGGGTGCAGCAAGAGCTGGGAGGGGACAGACCCAGGACAGGTGACCCAAACTAGCCAAAGGGGTATTCCATACTTATTCCATATTTAGGGAATCACAATTACAAGTAGTATAAAAATCTGCTCAATGCCCCAAATAATGGTATAAGGAAATAGAGTTGTATCTCCATTCAAATTACTGAAGTACCAGAGTCAATGAACTGAGAGCAGTGTCTTACGTTCATTTCTGAGGTAAAACTGGAACTGTCTGGTGTTTCTCTGTTACCTGCTGCCCTTGGCAGGGGCGAAGAAGGTCCTGCCTTGTGAAGTTTACAGTGCAAGGGCATAAGGGCTTTTGAAGCTGAGTTCAGGGGCTGAAAGATGCAGAGGAAACAGCACATACAGAAGTAATAAATTACTCTTATCTTTGTTACTGCTGAATATATGAACATGTCCCAAGGAAACCAAAGATTAACAAAAATGTTGTTTAATGATAATCGAATAGTTGATAATCTTTAAAATGTTGTTTAAAGATAATCGAATCAGTTGTGTTGATGAATTGCATCAACTCTGTCACCTACAACTGCACTGAATCAGTTAATATAAGCTCTAAAATACACAAATAGACTTAAATGTAATTGACTGTGTTACCATTACTACGGCTTTCATGCTTTAAGCTAGTTCTTGGTTAAATAAAAAAAGTCCTCCTAGTAAAAAGGTCTCTACCATATAATCAGTCCTCTCTGGCCTTTTCTTGGACATACAGAATAGATCTTAACTTGTCAGCAAAATAATGAAGTAAGAACATCTGGAAAAAAAAAAAATTGGAGGCTTTAGAAAAATGAAGATCATGACCCGACATAAAAGAACCAGCTCTGTAGTTCAGGTAGATCCAGGCTGATTCATTCTTCACCCCCTCATCCATGGAGCACTTCACATAACCCCCTTCTGGATGTGCCATATAGGTAACATCTGCAAAGAATATGGGCATCACTCTAAAACCAGCTATGGTTCTTTGTTGTGTGCTAACTGCGAAGAGTTTCCAATTAGAATTACAGCTCATCAAGACTGTGCCAGCAGGCTTCTGGGTGGTTAAGCCTCCAATTTTAATTGAACTGCCTTTAGCTGGTGATAAAAGCTGTCTTTTTAAACAGGCAAACTGCATACTTTCTGTAGTTAGTTAAATTCAAGTTGGGTTTGCATTCAGGATAATTACATGGAGTGGAATCTAATTGATTTAGTTGAAATGTGTATTTTATTCACCACAGTGCCGGAAAATGCCATTCGTTTTTTGTTTTTTTTTTTAGAGTATTCTGCTTTATTTCTCCCCATTTCTTATTTCTCTTTTCCTTTTTTTTTTTTTTTTTAATTATGTTCTTCTTTGCAGAATAATTAACATGTAAAGAATAAGACATGAGAAGGGAAGAGTTCTCTGGTTGAAAGCCAATGTGCTTCAGAGTTGCCATACAAATGGAAAAGCAGTTTAAAAACTAAACTTAATTCATAATATACACCTTGTACTGCCAGAAACATTTAGCACTGTGTGAAATTTAGAGAAATATAGTGCACTAATTTATCAGATGGTAATACCAGAGGTTACCAGAGTTTCTCCAGCTTCCTGTGCCATAGAAGAGCAAACAAGGAAAGAGTGTATTTCTCAAAATATTAGCCAGGGAAAGCATACTTTTAGGACAAGTCCTCTCCAAGAGTAGCATGACAGTCTTTAAAGATATTGTTCATCCACTGTGTTTAAATAGAAGTATAAAATAATCTGGGGAGAGGGAAAAGTGGACAGACACAATATATTCTTTAAATCTCATATGTATTAAGCTGTAAGTATTAATAAAACAAAATTTTGAATTAAAGAGGTAGTGTAAGTATAGCTTTTAACTATTTCAGGATATTTTTAAAATTCACCAAGTATTGTAGGGACAATCTGAAACTAGTCATGATTGTATGTGGTGTAGTTAAGCTATTAATGTTAAGAATTCAGTCTATGGCTATCCAGCAAAACAGGTAAGCACACCTATTACTTTAAATGCTCCAATTATCTCCTCAGTCATGTTTATTATATTCATTATATAAAGTGGTGATGAGCAACAAAGTATAGTTTGCCTTCTGTCTGCTTCACTGCACAGGCATGTCTGACAGCAAAATGATCTGCCTGTTATATCCAGGCTCACTCGTCCAAGGGGTGCAATTTAGCTAGAGGCCTCATTTGCCACTGATCAAATATGTGGACATGTCATTATTTTTCAATGATGGGGAGAAAGTAATTATTGATCTTCAGTTGCAAAAGCAATACTCAGAGTGAAAAAAGGAATTTTAAGACGTTCAGCAACAAAAGCTATCAAATGCAGCAAAACAATTCTCTAAATTATGCATGTACAAAAACTTCTTTAAAAAATTGATTTTTTTTTTATCCAGAATAATCAGCAGTTGAAAGTATGACAAATGATTCACCTTCCAGCAAACCTGCTGTAATCTTTTCAGGACGGAAATGTTTGGGGGAAGTACACAGAAGCCACTCTGAATGCACATGGCTAGAATACTGCTCGAGAATATATTTTTCAGAATCATAGTATCATTGCAAAGTATGTCTCTCAAATGATGGACTATCTGCCACTCAGGATTATCTCAGCATAAGTACGGGCAAACTGCTTTGACAATCCCTTTTGCAGTGCTGGAGGAAGCCCAGACTTCAGTTGACCATTGTAATAAATGAGAAACAAAACACATTGCAACGTTGTAATGTAATATCATTAGTGATTACTAAAGTTTCTTGACTGTTTCTATCTCTTTTTGCTTAATGTTTGCTTTTTTTTTTTTTTTTTTTTCCTAGCAGTTAAGTTTGATGTTAATGGAAAACCCATTTAAAACAATGATTACCCTCTGAAGAAAAAGTGAGTGCACTCAAGTGGAAACGGAAGATTTATCGATCAGTTTTCAGGTAAGGCTTACTTGCTTGACACTTCACAACAAAGAAATGCATTTTTATTACTTGGCCAGATAGTTCAGATTGCTTTCATTCTTAATAAAGACCTTCTTTATAACATTTATAAAACTTTATTACAGTTATAATAATAAAATTGGATTTCAGAATTCACATGAGATCTCGAGGGGTATGAATCTATAAACTTTAAAATCATTATTAATCTCAATGCATCTATTCTGATAAAATGTGTGTTTCTTCTAATTTCTCTGCAGATTTTAGCAGTATTTGTTGTTTCTTTGGACAGGTGAGAACTTCTTTGGTAATCATTTTTAAATTTATTTGATTACAAAAAAAGTTGATGTTATAAGTAGAGACTGGAACACTAGGAAGCAGGTGGCCATGGTACTTAAGGATATACCTCTGCCTGCAACAGTTAGCGGTGATTCCTCCAGAGGAATACTCAGAGTGTGAACTGAGCCCTGTCCAGGCTTTCTGAACTAGCCCCCGAGGGGTCTTGTCCCTGTTTATTGGGATACAGCTGGAAGAGATCAACTTCACAGATTAGGTTTTTCAAGTAGATACCCAGGTGGTATGAGTATCTGCTTACAATGAAGTTTTGAAGTCTCTCTCCTGTCTGGAGTTCTGAAGTTTAGTGTAAGCATTTAAATATTCAAAAATACATGCCTTCGGAAAAATAGAAGACATATTCTAGTTCTAAATTTGAAAAATGCAAGTGAATTGGAATGAAGAGTGTAATTTAACTAGTATTAAGAAACCTTACGCATTTTAATTTGGTTTAAAATCTTTGGAACTTCTTTAGAACTACCCATTGGACTAAGATTCACAGAGATAGCCTTAGGAGGAGAGGTGCCATTTCTACTACTGCTTGAACACATCAATATCTTTCTCAAGCTAGCTAGAGAAACCTAAAAGCTGAAGATTCAGCCACAAAAGAATGTGATCATAGACATCCTTAGAAAGTTAAGAAGTGCTATAAAATCATCAGTATCATCCAAGAGTATTTTTAACTTTGAGATGCTAGGCAAGATCCTCACCAGAGATAAATTAGAAATACTCCAATTAACTCAACTATACTATGACCTTGTAATTAAAAACAAATCTGTTTCTTTTCCTAGATGTTTTTCTGGAATTAGGTCTCTGTAGTATACAGATTCCAGGATCCATTTACCACATTATTCAGAAAATTCCCTTATTTTCAGATCATCTCTGAGTTTAAAGACTCAGATTCTACTTCGAGTATGACTCATCAAATGATCTATTCTTCTTTCAGCTTTTCACTGCTCACTTTTTAGGTTTGGTGGTGGCATTTGTTTTTTAGTTAGGGATATACATGTGTGTGTGTATATATATATATATATATATATATATACATATATATATATATATATAATATATATATAAATATATATATATATATATATAATATATATATAAATATATATATATATATATATAATATATATATATATATATATATATATAAAAATATATATATTTTTTTCTTCCTAGGATTCCTGCTTCTCATATTTCTTTCCTCAAATAAGGATAAAGCCTTATTTCTAAAATCAGTAAAGGTCTAAGGTTACACTAAATGGATGAAAGTGTTTTTTTTTTTTTTTTCTTTCCTCTGTTGAAAATATGGGAAATCCTTTGGTATTTTTGAGAACAGATTATAGCCAAAGTCATGTTGTCCTGAATGCTTATGGCTTGTTGTGTTGTTGTTTGTTTTGTGTTTTTATGTTTTAATTATTCCAGATAATTCTTTAATTACTGTTATAGCATAATTTCTGCACTAATGCTACATATGTAGTTATGTTATCATTGAGTCCCTGCAACAGATCCGGTCTTGGAAACTACTGACAACTTACAAATTTAACGTTCTTGTTTTCTCTTAAGTAATGAAAATTTTTCTGCAATCCTTAAAATTCTGTTAGGTGAAGGCTGCACAAAGCCAGTTACATAGACAGGAGTATACAGAGACTGATTTCTAGAATCCATAACTGAAATTTTATATTCCTTAAATAGGATTGCCTATTTTAACTAGAAAGTTAAAATTCAGATTCATGGCTCCTTTATTACAAGTTTCTTGAGGCATTCAGAGAAACAGCACAAGATTCTGGATAAAGAATATTCAGTTTTAAAAAAAAAAAAAAAAAAAAAAAAAAGACTAAGAAGATATTTTGGAGAAACTTCTCTGGCCCTTTTCTGTACTGTGTGAAAATATATACTGAGGAAGAGCATATCCAAAAGTATGACTAAACATTAGAATTTGAGAAGTAATAATAATAAAAAAAGGTATACAACCAATACAGTTGTATACACCTGCCTATAATTGGTTTCAGATCACAAATTTTCCAGTTGTAGTTCAATAATCTTAATCTAAATTATTTATTTTTTTAGCAGAATTGGCTACTGTAGTGTTTCCTTCTTTGATTATGAGTTTTCTCAAAATCGTCTATTATCATGAGAAAACAGTTTTCAAAATGTAACAATGTAAAACCTGAATAACTAGTATAGAACTGAAATGTGGTAAGGGATTAAGATAACTTCTAAGATAATATAAAACTGTGTAAACTAATAAGATAATTTTATGCATTAAGAAAAAAATCATGTTTAATGCAATTTTTAACAGAGGCTTGATAAAGCTTTTATGAATATACAAAAGACTTGGCTCGAAGCTGTGGCTCTTCAGTTTGTATTATTTAGTATGATTTCAGCAGGCATAAATCAATAGTCTAGACAAGTTGGGTTTGAATTTAAATAGTTTTGATCTCATTATTTAAAATTTTGGTTTAAGTTTTGAGGGTATATTAGAAAAAATAATCAAAGGAGAACAAATAAGAAATTCTTAAAAGACCCTTTGATTCTTGCTATGTTAGATCTCATTATTAAAGTATTAAAGAGACGTAATTTTCTACAGAAGAAAGCCAAACTTGATGCCCACAGTGTTCTATTGCATCTATAGCAGCAAGTGGACAGTAGTAAGTGCCTGATCTTCACACTATTATAAAATAATTGAAGTTGATGTGGTTATTCTACTGTAACTGGGAGGAGAGTGAGGCCCAGTCTTTTGAATTGTCAGTTTTAAAATCACGAATGAGAGTAGTTTTAACAAGAAGATTCTCTGTAATGAAACATAATTTGGATTATTCCAGAAGGCTGGGCCCTCTGACAGACAGAATATTTCCCGAAATTTCCTAGGCATAAAACTGGAAGCATTATATAGAGGTGATAGGAGGAAATGTGTCTTCTACTTTTGGAAAACCTGTTATCTTGCATTCTTTTTAAAAGAATTTAAAGACAATGATGATGTAGAGATTTGTACTTATTATAGCATTTATTTTTTTTTAATTGGACATTACCATTTCTACCAGGCTGTTTTAATGGCATGCTGCAGAATCCTCTGCAGAAAACAGGTGCTGCTAATACATATCAAACAACCTCCAAGTAAAAGTATAGGTAATTTTTTAGTTACTGCACTGAGGTGAGAGCAGTGAAGACCTTGACAGACTCATCTACACATTCAAGGGTGTTCTCCATGTATTGGACTTCCACCAGTTCACTAAAACTAAATAAGAGAATCACTCCCACCAGAAAGTGAATGCAAGTAGGTGATTTGCTGTCAGTAGAAGTACATTTGGAAGCAGATTAAAAGTTTAACTGAATCATAATCTTACAACCTTATTAGTCATGTGGTGCATTAATTGAACAATTTTGTTAGTGACTTTTAAAATAGCTGTACATAATATGTGCTTCTTAATGAATGAATGAAAATGAAATCTACCCTTTGCATTTTTCACATAATTGGCTTTTACTTATAGAAGCGATTGTATTTAAATCAAAAGAAACAGTAATGCACTTACGAGTAAAGCTTTTAAGGATAACTCAAAATTATCACTAAATGAATGCTTTTTATATTTAGGAATAATTGTAGTACGTCAATATGTGTAATTCATGGGTTTTTTTTGCCATGTACTGAATTATTTCAGAATCTACAGAATCATTTGTAGCTTTAAAAATATTATACAAGATAGACTACTAAATACATTTTTTTCTGCAAAATTGAATTCTGTTTATCTGGCATTTGGCATGGATGTAGTGTATTTTTTGTTATTGCTGCTACATATTCTTTACTATTTAATTTTATTTATTTATGTATTCATTTATTTAAGATGGATCTTTGTAAAGCGTAGCTTGAAACGCATTAGAAGTTAGAAAGGCAGACTATAGAAGAAGCCTATCCACTTCACATTAAAATAACTTGATTGAAATCCCCCACTGATTTTAGTGCCTGAGTCATGTCCAAGCAATCTTTTTTTTTTTTTTTTTAAACCAGGTGTTATCTTAATTCCCTTGATAAAGGAAAGTATTTTTAAATGAGAAAATATTGGACTTGTTTATACCTAATGAGCCACTGAGAACAGTAAGATCACGCTTTTGCTGTTAAGCATGTACCTATCCAAACCTCAATTTTTAAAGTGTCTTGCAATCACATGCAGGTTCTAGCACCAGGCCTCTGTCAGAAAAGACTTACAGATCTAATAAATTGTATAAAAAACATAAGTAATTCAAATTCCAGTTAAATAAATGGGTGTTTTTTAATGTTTCATTGAATTTAGACCCATGTTTAAAAATATAGTGAAATATATCCACTAAAATCAGCTCATACTGTGTGAAGCATGTTCACATGTCCTTCTGTAGTCAGTGACTGAGCTTGAAGACCAAATAATGTGTAATACAAATTTAGCATTGGTATTGAACTTCCCAAAAAACATCAGTGTACATCTCAAAATCCCATTAGTCATTGGTGAAGGAATGATGTTAAAACAGAGGAGCAAGTGTAGCCAGGAAGCAAGGTATTTGGCAGAATCTCTGGTGGGCTTTAATAAAATGTGTACTTGACTTCTTTGGAAACAGTGTTTCCAAAATTCACGCAAAATCTTAAATGGAAAGAAAAGACCTATGCCTGAAGGGGTCATGGCTTCCCGTGCTTTATTTTTTATTTTTATTTTTTCCCCTCATACTTAAATCAGAAAAAGTATTCATTTATCAGGTTCAAGCAGAAATTGAACCTTTCTTCAGAGTTTCAGCTACTCTGATTTAGTGTCTGGTTTTGTAGCTCTTTAAATAAATACAAAATCTTAACATATTGGCATGTTTAATATATATGTGACAGAATATACGTAAGAGAAATTCTTAGTTTTATTTAGTCTGTACAATATATTTATTTATTGCTTTAAAGGTGCAATTAAAAGTTGTTTCTGATAAAAACTATCTTTTAATGGACAAAGAAGAGCATGCTCTTGGTCTTAGTTACCTATCAGAAGTTGATAAATTGTACCAATTCCTTCCTATATTTGTGTTACTTCAGTTACTGTAATGATGCCTGAATAGGCAGAGATTAGTTCCTTTAACTCCCATTTCAATCTTTGGAGGTTCTGCCATTCAGCAACTTGCAGAACTGGGCTCAGGAGGAAGACTGCTAGATAGGAAAGGTTAAAAACTTTTTATTTTTTTTCTTTAAAAAGAGGACTGCTGGGATTCAAACTGCTTTTACATTGACCATAATGTTTGTAAGATTCCCTATAGTGTATCAAATATTACAACAGTTATTAAGAACACAAGAAACTAGTGCATTTACTAGTGCATTTCTGCAACATCTGTCATATCAAGGGAGAATACAATAGAACACAAGCATGTAACATGTAAATATTAAAAAAATAAGTGTCAGGAAACAGTATTCTCCACTCTAATATTTCATTTCTCTAACAGCACACACAAAATGCCAAGAATGCTTAGAGCCCCTGAGCTCAGTAATGCGACACCAGTCTCTTCTTTCACAGTCCTTAAGATACAGAATAATAATTATAGATTTTTGCCTTATGCTAACATCTGGAACTCACATGGAAAATACAGTAGAAAGGCCTATGATAACAGCACAGAGAAGGAGACATTAAAAGAAAACTTCTAAAACCAAAAAAAGGGGACTTTTTTTTTTTTTAATTGCCATACGGTGAATAGGGAGGCTGTATAATGCTATGCCATCTAGCACAAGACTGATGCAGTATTTAAATAACCCTTCACACTTAATTAGTCATTTTTTATTATTGCAGTAGGAATATGTCCCAGCTGATATCAAGGCCCAAGTATTCTGAGTGCTAGAATACATAAAAAATAGAGCTCTGGAGAGCATCTCTTTGGAGTCCAGAAAATAGGTACATGCTAAGACTACTTAAGTAGTTCATCAAATTATTATGGTTCTCCAGGATGTTGTTAACCCATCTACTTCTTGTGTCTCAGGCCTTTCCTTGCTTCACAGCCTGATCCTGTCCACACTCCACTCACACAGCTCACTGGGCAGTACAGTTTTTGTTGCCTTTCTTGATGAACCTGATCTCCTTCTGTGATGAAGTGACGCGCTGGGTGGATGAGGGAAAGGCTGTGGATGTGGTCTACCTTGACTTCAGCAAGTCTTTTGACACCATCTCCCATAGAATTCTCCTCAAGAAACTGGCTGCTCTTGGCTTGGACTGGCGCACGCTTCGTTGGGTTAGAAACTGGCTGGGTAGCCGGGCCCAAAGAGTTGTGGTGAATGGAGCCAAGTCCAGTTGGAGGCCAGTCACTACTGGCGTCCCCCAGGGCTCGGTACTGGGGCCGGTCCTCTTTAATATCTTCATCAATGATCTGGACGAAGGCATTGAGTGCACCCTCAGTAAGTTTGCAGATGACACCAAGCTAGGCGAGTGTGTCGATCCACTCAAGGGTAGGAAAGCTCTGCAGGAGGATCTGGATAGGCTGCACCGATGGGCTGAGGCCAACTGCAATGAAGTTCAACAAGGCCAAGTGCCGGGTCCTGCACCTGGGGCACAATAACCCCAAGCAGAGCTACAGGCTGGGAGAGGAATGGTTGGAGAGCTGCCAGGCAGAGAAAGACCTGGGGGTGATGGTTGGTAGTCGGCTGAATATGAGCCAGCAGTGTGCTCAGGTGGCCAAGAAGGCCAACGGCATCCTGGCTTGTATCAGAAACAGTGTGACCAGCAGGGCTAGGGAGGTGATCGTCCCCCTGTACTCGGCTCTGGTGAGGCCGCACCTCGAGTACTGTGTTCAGTTTTGGGCCCCTCGCTACAAGAAGGACATCGAGGTGCTTGAGCGGGTCCAGAGAAGGGCGACGAAGCTGGTGAGGGGCCTGGAGAGCAAGTCCTACGAGGAGCGGCTGAGGGAGCCGGGCTTGTTCAGCCTGGAGAAGAGGAGGCTCAGGGGCGACCTTATCGCTCTCTACAGGTACCTTAAAGGAGGCTGTAGCGAGGCGGGGGTTGGCCTGTTCTCCCACGTGCCTGGTGACAGGATGAGGGGGAATGGGCTTAAGTTGCGCCAGGGGAGTTTTAGGTTGGATATTTGGAAGAACTTCTTTACTGAAAGGGTTGTTAGGCACTGGAACAGGCTGCCCAGGGAGGTGGTGGAGTCACCATCCCTGGAAGTCTTTAAAAGACGTTTAGATGTAGAGCTTAGGGATATGGTTTAGTGGGGACTGTTAGCATTGGGTCAGAGGTTGGACTCGATGATCTTGAGGTCTCTTCCAACCTAGAAATTCTGTGATTCTGTGATCTTCTCTAAATTTACTGTTTTACCGTAGTTGTGGAGACCAGAAATGTGCAGTAGTCAACATGACAAAAAGACAGCGGCTTGTGCCCCAACAGCTTTGGTTCTTGTCCAGTGTTTTGTTGGACACTTTAACTGATGCAATGACCGAATGCTTTCAGAGAACTAGCAATAAAAAAAAAACCTGCATATTGGGGCTATAGAGGCAATATCAGCTCGGAGTAGAGATCTTTGTCCTCGGACATAGAGACACATTTATTTGTGTATGTTTTCCACAGGCACATCAAAAGCTTTCTAATCAACCCCTGGATGTGCCGCTTGGCGAGGAAGGAGACGCTGCAGGCCTCGCCCTTGGCGCCCAGCACGGCCACCGCCATGAGCGCGGCCTTCCCCTGCCCCTTCACAACGGTGAGGAAAGAGGTTTCATTTTCCCGGACCGTAATCTCCACTGAAGGTTTAATCATTTATTTACGTGTTGGGGACAAGGTTTTATTTCGTTATTTATTTGGGAACGCTTCGGCCGAGGGCCCCCGAGGCTTCCTTTGGCACATGGAGGCCGCCGGGGGAGCCCGCGGCCGCCGCAAGGTGGCGCCTGAGCGCCGGGAACCGCCGGCCCCAGGCCCCCCCCCGGCAGCGCTGAGGCGCCCAGGTGAGCCCGGCTTCCTAATTATGCTTTGAAGCCTCCAAAAGATTGACCGTAATTGTTCCCAAATGCATAAACACAACAAATTAGGTTTATTTCTCAGGTATTACTTTTGGTGAAGTAGGGCTGGGGCACACAGATGGACTGGGGCATGGTTTGTGTATTGGTCATAATTCATCCATCAAGTATTACTAAAATATTTTTTTCAGAAGAAGTGGCCTACTTCCAAGTGGCTTTTGTTGTGACAGTTTTTTGTTCTTGGATTTTAAATAGTACAGCTGTGACGTAAGCCTTTCCTTAAAATGACACATTTGGGGGTAGGGTATGGCTCTACCACAGTCAACAAATTCAGATGAAGTCTCGGTAGTTTGGGGCTGAAGTGCTGATTAGGAGGCAAGGAGCTCAGATGGACATTCTCCGTTTGCATGGTACTCAGCCTCTAAAGTTTCTTGATGTATTTTCTCATTTCTCTCCCTGCCCGTTACAGGAAATAGGATACAAACAAATTACAGGCTATGAATGTTCTCCATTGAGTGAAGCATGATCTGGTCTTCTCTTTGTAAAGTGAACATATTTGAATAAATAAATATGTTTATATATTCATTTCTTTTTTTGCATTGTTAAAGTTGACAGTAGGTATCATTCTTAGATCTTGCTTTAATCAGTATGAGACTTTTCTTCTCTCTGCCTCTGAGGCACAACAGAGTTATTAACCATGGGTAAACGATAGCACCACCATGTGATTTCTTTAGAAATCATCCAGCCAGGGGGGTCACTCTTCTTACGGTAATAAGAGACAAGTACATCCCCAGATATTCTCATAAGCCTAATTTAACTGCCTGAGGGGAGGCAGGGTGGATTTAAAATCAACTATTTAGAATAGACATTGGCACTAAACTATTCACATTTAAACTTTTTTTTTTTTTTTTTTTTTTTTTTTTTGGTGGGGAGCTTCATTGGTAATGAGATAAAATTTTAGATTGTTTGTTGACCATATAACTTGAATTTGCTTAAACTTTCTATTTGTCATGCATTTAGTTGTCTTTCATGTAAATAACACTCTGGCTCAGAGAAACAAATGAGGTGGAGCATAACTGTGCTGGTATCAGAATAGCTGTGCTCACTTGGACCAGCTCAAGATGTGTCCCTGTATGGTCAAAATCAATGTCTGATTTATTTTTAAGTAAAGGATGGGGGCTTGTTGGTCAGATGCTAGATTCATTGTCAGGAAATGCAAGCTTTATTTCTGCTCTGGTCCTGAGTTCATGTGTAAGCTGGAGCAAGCACTTAATTCCCTTACACTTTGTCTATAAATTGAGAACAATTCTTTTTCCTCTCACATGGGTACTATTAAGTTTAATTCAGTGATGCATAAAATGGGATAAATACCTAGATTAAAGTTGGTATGCAGGGTGTCAGTCACAGTATGGAAATAAATACATTTTAAAGCTGTGGGACATTTCTTCAATGAGGTTAAGTTGAAACAGTTTCCTTAAGCCCCCAGAGGGGTGTGGGCTCGTGCAAGCTGAAGGTCTGATCCATGCGTATTTCTTGAGAGGTTTTCTGTAGTACAGCCTATGTAAGAATATCGAGTTTTACATATTGAAGACGCTGTGAAGGCTGGAAGCAGTCTGTAAGTGTTACTTATTAATGGTCTGTATTAATAGAAGGAAGAAAGTCCATGTTAAATTTTTCAAATCAGCAATGCCTTTAAAGCTGAAGTAAATTTGACTCTGCCAGCTGCACATAAGTGAAATAGGTCACCATCACTACTACTCTGGTGGGCTTTTTTTCTTCCTTTGCTTTGATGATGCTTTGCAAAGCTTGAGGAGAAATTTTATACACATCTCCCACATACTTTATTAAAAAAGAAGGCTATGTATGTATACTCTAAAGGAATAGAATAATAAAACCGAGGAAACACCAAAGTGTCTTCAGGCTACTTACCTGTGGTAAAAATGAGTTGAATTCATATATACTGTACCTGCACAAGATAATGTAAAACAGTAATATATTTACTCTGTGATGCAGGGTGGCCCACTTATTTCTGCCCCATATTAAATAGAGAGGGGGATGAACACAACCTCCAGGTGAATTTTTCAGTGTTCTCCAAGGAGTTTTGTCCTTGTCAAATATTCTGCAGCTCCTCTATGTGGCTGAGCTGTTCTCGCTAGAAGTGGTTGGATGAGAAAATTAGTTTTGGCCCATGCCATGTAGACCTTTAAAAGAAAAAGGCCCGAGGGGGAGATCTTATTTAATAACTCTCCACACCCCTGCATAGCAATCAGGTTCTTCAGTACAGCCAGAAATGGATTTGTGCAGCTGTGAAAGGTATTGGTTGATTTGCCAAGGACAGGCCAGCTCAGAGGTAGGTCAATGGTGGCACGTCCCTCTAGTCCCTCCTCACTTCTGATCAGGGACCATGCTCTGTCTGCACGCTGCAGGTGTCTGTGCCATCCTTTGTTGGTTTTGCCTGTCACACTTCTACCCATCTCAGCGCAACTGGGCTACTGATATCACAAATATCAGGATATTAAGAGCGAATGGTAAACACACTCACTTTTCTTATAAGCTGGTGGATTGCGATGGCATTAGGCACTCAGCAGTCTTTAGCTTTAGAATAGTGGTGTTAGAGTGCAGGTATCAAGAAGATCCTGTCTCCAGACATCTTGTCTGTAGGAAGGTATCTGCATCAAATGAGGAAAGAATATGAAAGGGAATCGAGCGGAAGCTGCAAGTTTGTCCCAGGCAGTGGTATAAAAGCATGTAAGCTATGCTAATTGGTGCTCTGAGGGGATTGATTTCCCCCTCTCCCCTGTATACAGTAGCTGATGACAATGAGGGAATGGAACCAGGCTCACCCCAAGGGTTTATGTAAATACATTTACACAGCTTGACTCTGAAGTTCACTTCTCTCCCTCTGTTCTTTGTTTTTAGTCTATTTGCGACTGACATTTCACTAGGACTTCTTACTGCTTCTCTTCTATCAATGTGTGTTTTCATTTGGAATATTAATCTCCTCCCCTACGTTCACTAGAAAGATTTAAATTAGCATTTTGCTAAAGCTTTTGCTGTATGTTGGTTTCCTCCCTCTTGTAGGAGGAGAAGTTGGATGAAGAGAAAGCTACTATTCTGTCTTTGTACTTGCTCCTATTTTGTGTCATTTTGTTCTGCTAGACAAACTATCTTTGATTTAGTAGGGTTGGAGTATGAGTGCATAATAGATTATCTGTCACTGGACCAAATCAATCATGGTTAACAGTGTATTGACAGAGCATATAGCAAGTATCCTTGACCTGAGGTTGACAATACCTGTTATCACCATCTTGTGGTTCTTACTGCTGCGTGGCATGAGCTTTGAAACAGAATATTCTTTATCAGCTGTTTTTATTCTTCTGTACATATGAGTTTTCTTTATTTGAGGCTTTTTGAGTTAACAGAAGCTGTCTCCTTCAGTTGTGAAGCACCATAGAACCTGGCTAGTCATGCCTGAGTGTTCTTGAAAGTAAGAGACAAACTCCTGTGCTTTAAATAGAAGTCAGCATTTAAATGTTAAGGTTACAATGAGATTTTCACTGTAGTTAGGGTGCCATTTAATTGCCCAGGTCAGGTGGTTTTGGTTTTGTTTATTTTGCAAATACAGTATCATATACCACAAATGAGTGTTGTGGGAGGGAGAGCATTGAATTGATCACATCTGTTATGGTGGTTCCTTTGCTTCTTTGTTCATTTTAAGCATTTAGGCTTCAGCATTTCATTCACACAGCTATAGATGCTCCTAATAGCATTTCTTTTAATGTTATAGCAAAATGTTCCTGCTGTTTGTTGTGTAGTCTCAGTGCTGTATTATTTTCTACGAGAAGGGAAGTGACTTTTCCCTCCTTAATGGGGATGTTTGGGGATTTACCTTGTGATTCTACACAAATGAGGATGTTTAGCTACTTGCAAAAGCAGTCAGGAGATGACAGGGGCAGCCAGAACCATTGGTCTCAGTTGCAATGAACAGGTGAGATGTGCTTGATGTTGCCTTGCTTGCAGTGTTACTGTTGCTTACGTCTGATTTCAGAAATTGGAATGATGATTATATTTGAGCAAATACACAAACAACTCAGCTGAATTTTCTGGTGCTGAAGTTCAACATGTGCTCAAATGCCGTGCTGAAGTAGGAGCTTGCTTTGGGTCTGCGTGCATCTTTACAAAGATGAAGTGGTGATGCAGAGTAAGTAAAGTAATCACTAGCAAGTGAGAAATAAAAGACTTGGAGAAATATTATTGATGTACTTTGCTACTTCAAGAAATATGTATTTGGTAAGCTTCCAGGCAAGCAATGTCTGTGCTCAAGTTTGGCTTGCAATTTATGGACAAATGAAAATATATTTTGCCTACGGACAACATAACCTGATCTTCTTTATCTTGCTTATGAAAACATACATATATTCATGCAAGAATGACAGAAATTCTACCAGAATGCATTTTTCTTCACTGTTACTTTTTTTTTTTTTTTTTTTTTTTTTTTTTTTTAATGAAAATGTTTTCTCATATTGTAGTCCTGGCATATGAACACCGTCTGGTAGCATAATCAATGGTGTGGTAATATCTTGTCTGCTTTTTATATCCCAAATAAGGATTGTATGTTTTTGAAGCGGAAGGTGAAATGTTTTCCTCTGTGGACCAGATTGTAAATATATGTTGTTGCAGAGGACAAGGTAGTGGTTTGTTTTCTGTTTGAGTCAGGATTGAGGAGGTATGTGATGATCCTTATTCTTTGCTTTTCTGTTTGTGTCAATTTCTGGTGTGAGCCGTGCAACAAAGAGACACAAAGTAACATGGCACTGTTGGCCCAAGTACAGTTTCTGGTTTCTCTAATAACATTTGTTGTCACACCACCTCTTTCAGGAATCACTGTTTCTCCTTTCAGGACTTCAGAACACTCTGCCTACTTCGTTGCTCAGGATTTGAGTCTGAGCACATGCTCCTTTCCCGATAGCTTTCCTATAGGACATACAGCCACTTTCTGTTACAAATATTTGATAATACATCTACCGTTTCTGAAAGAAAATGTCTAGTGAGATCAAATTTGGTCTAACCTTGGCTCAACTGAAATGCTACTAAGCAGCAGCTTGCACACTCCAGTCTGGAACCAGCAAAACCATTGTTAGAAAAAACAGAATCAGATAATGCGAAAGGCAAAACAGAAGTGGGATACCTGTCATCCACCCTAAACCACAACATCTAAGAAAAAAGAATGATATGGTACCCAGGACAGAAAGGTTTGTCTGTTAACCAGTTTCTCAACGCGCTCACATGAGGCTAATGAAGAGTTTTCATCTGAGTCAGATGTAGTTAAATTGAAGATCTTCTAGGTCAAAAAGAGGAAAATAAAAACTCATTGCATTAACTTGTAGACCACAAAGCACTCACAACGACAACGTTCGAAAGCAGCAATGTTCGATTGCCAAAGATGTGCACAAATGCTAATCCTTCTCAAACTTAACCCAGAGGGCACTAATGAAATGCTGCTCCTTTGCTCTCCTTACGGTTTGGGAGGGTGTTAGATGCCAGGGAGATTTTTTACTTGGTTGTTTCACTGGGCCTTTGAAGAGGGAAGTGACATGCTACTGGAACTGAATGAGTAACTGGTAACACATCCAGTTTTATTTTCTGGCTTCTGACCTAGAGAGAGCTACTTTATTTTATAGCTGAATTAGCAACTATAAAGTTTAAAAACCAAACAAAACAAAGCTCTGGATATAGAGTGGCTACATATCTGTAGCTATATGTATTTTCCTTCTTTTCTTGCCTTTAGATGTTTTTGTGTAAATGTTTGGTTGATACCGAGTATATTGTACTGCAAAGGAGATGTAAACTCCATGCTAAAAGGGACTTCTGTTAAGTTTTTCTCTTAAATCAGATTTATAAACAACTTTAAACAAAAGGTCTTTCTGCCTTTGCAGGGGAGAAGGAAAACCAAAACAAGTGTGGTGAGCAAAAAGAACCAAAGAACCACAAGTGAAGAGACAACAAGAGGAATGGAGCTGGGAGAAAATCACCATACTTTTGTAAGTAGATGGCCACGTTGCCTGCTAAAGTATTTCCTCCAAGTCCAGAAACACTCAGGTGACATTGCCATTGCCTCTTTTGCACACCCAACTGCTAGCACGTCCTGTTGTTTTAAGCATCTGTGGTGGCCTTGGCAATTTTGGTTTGTGGTTTTGCTGTTACCTTCCTGCTATGGCTAATTATTGCTATTATTATTATCGGCTGAAGTCTTCCAGGCGTGGTGGTGGAAGCCGACTGATTATGGGCAAGCGATCTGGGCTGCTGCTGTTCCCAGTGTAAGGTGTAGTGGTGAGGAGATGTGAGATGCTTTTGGATCTTTTCTTGTGGTGGTCAGATAGCAAGGCTTTCAACAACTTCAGTTCCAGCTGGGTCATTGGGATTCTGAACTATGTACTTCAGCACAGCTCATGGATTTTAAACCTGTCACATTGTACTGTTATTATAGATATGGTCCTGCACTTGCAAGCTGTTTTCTTGATCTTTTGCCAGCAAGGCTTTTGTAGCAGTCCTTGGAAGATATACTGTAGCAGTTCCCTTTTATAATATCTATCATTAACACCTCGTTGGCATCTGTAAGAGTTTCTTCTTTGCTGGCGATTGGAGCAGTTGATTAAGCAGCCTTTTGCTGTCCACAGGCAATTTCTCAGATTTCCACCTTGTTTCAGATCCACCTTTTCTAGCAAAGGTCCTGGAGAAAGGTTGTGGCAGGGCAACTACAGCCCTTACCTTCATGGTAATAATAAACTGTTTGAAAAATTTCAATCAGGTCAAAGCAGTGAGACAGCTTTAATGAGGATTTGTAGTGACCTTCTGTTTTATAGTAGGTGGATTCTGGCACATTGTCAATTTTAATTCTTAGTGATCTTTCAGTGGCTTTTGATACTAGAGATCATAGATTTCTCTTAAAATATCCGTAGAAGATCCTGAGCCCCGTGGGCCCTGCCTCAACGCTGCCTCATTAGTATTTGCCTCAGTGGTGCCAGTTTGTCACTGTAAATATCTCATCTTCTGATACTGCCCCTGTGAACCGCCAGGTTCCCCAGGGCTATGAATTGGGCGTGTTCCTGGGTTTCCTGTATGTATATGGGAACTACAGCTTGCATTTCCAAACCTTACACACGCACAATGGCATGCAGAAAGTGCTTGGACACATTTGTTTCATACAAGTATTTCTGTGTATATGACAGCAACGCTTGCCTGCCAAAATTTAGTCTGTGTAAAATGTTGCAGAAGTAAATGCAAACACAGGGAGATTATGACTGCCTCTTGTCTCCTTTTGATTGAATTGTATTATTTTAGTCTTGATTGAGTATTTTAAATCACAGTGGTAGTCTGGGCACAGGAGGAATTTTAGGCTGTTTGTGGTTAGTCATGTGCTCGAAGAAGTATTTCTGGATGCCAAGAGGCACCATAAACTGACTGCTCTTACTGTTTGAGGTAGTAATGGCAGTACGACTTCCTGATGGAGAAAGTCTGCTAAATCATCAACTCCTCCTGCCTGAGCAGAACTTCACCCATAGGACATCTGCTAGAAGCTTCTGCCTAATCCTTGTAAAAAAAATCCGAGATAGGGGAATCTTTATATACAAGAGAAATATTTTTTAGAGTTAATCTAATGTCCTTATTCTTTTTTCCTTTACTTCTAGTTATTCTTATAGTGACTTGAGGTAGAGTTAATCTTGTATTGAAGATGTCAGTAGTTAGATAAATAGCTACCTCTGGGCTAGATGTCTAGACTGTGGGCTTCTGTCTGTAGAAAGACAGAATAAATCTGTACTATGATTCATTTAATCCATAAGTGGGCTTGTATAGTGCAGACATTTAAATCTGGACAAATGAATCTTAAGACTTTTATATGTTTGTGAATTGCTGTGTTGTTTTGGTTGTTAAACGCTTGGCCTCAGCCAAGGAACTGAACCATTGCAGTTTGGAGGGTGGGTATAAATAGAAGATTATGGTCTGAACAGATGTAGGCTTGGGAAGCAAAAGCACAAAAAGGCAAGATGCCAAAGGATCCACAAGTAGCTTGTGCGATGTTTGCATGTCACAGATTTCTTAGCAGTACTGCTTTTGGTAATCTTGCCCACCCAGGGTGTGCTGTGAGGCTACAAGGGGATTCTTGTAGATTCTTGTAATTCTCAAGGGGAGAATTAATTCCCTGAAGGCCTGCTTTGTTGTAACACAGAGTCCAGAATGAGTGTCCAAAACATGGAAGGTGTTTGTGTTGTTGCTGACTGCCTCAGTTGTGTGTCTCCCCTGCCACTCAGGCAGTGGTTTCATAACTCACTGTCTGAGCTTGTAGTTCATTGTGGTATCCATTCAATTAAACTGTCTCTGTCCATTGTAGAAGAAGAGCTAGTTGATAATTTACCTTGTGATTTGGTGTATATATCCTCAAATTGTACCTGCCTATTTGAATCATGTTTCACTTTGAAATGATTTCTAAGGTCTCTTATTCACAACCTCTGTGGATTTCACTGTGGCAGCTAAATCTGACAGGAGTTATGAATTGGAGCCCTTCACCACCACAGTTCAGTCCAGGGTATTAAAGTGAACTGAAATCAATAGTGGTTTACATGATAATGGGCCTGGCTCGGAACTGGAAACTGAAGAACAGGCACATCACTTCTTTTGCCTCTCCTGCTAGAAGGCAGCAGCCTGCAGCAGGAGGTAGGACGGCCAGCACCAAGAAAGCTCTTTAACCTAGCTAACAGGGCTTGGAAGAGCTCGTAAGGAAATGTTGTTCCTTGATAGTTAGCTTGCTTTCTGTGTTGTTCACTTGCTTCTTCCATCTGTACTTGGGATTATATTTGCCACATGTATTAACTTCGCATATGTTTCTAATTTACCTAGTTTCTTCAAATTTTGTAATCTCATGCATTTTGCTGTTTATCCCAAATTGTTACCAGCTGTAAAGATCACAGTACATTTTTTTCACACCGTAGTCCTAATCACAAATGAAAATGCTAACTAAAACCAAAATAGCAACCCTCCTATTGCCACAGGAGACAATTTCTGTATTTGAATTAAAACCGTGGTTCACATCAATTGCTGTACAGTGCTAGAGCCATGATCTGTGTATTTCACTGCTCTGTCTCCACCGCTGGTCGTGAGCAGCAAGGACAAGGGTAACAGCTTGTTTAAATATGGGATTTCTAGATGTGTAATGATTTCAAGGTAATTTCACTCTTTGTTTCTGGCTTTTAATTCCTTATTGTCTAATTAAATGTAAAAACAATGTTAGTATTGAGAATTTCACTTAAAAAAAAATCCTCAATTAGGTGAATGTAACTTTATCAGATGGAAAGAGTACATTACTGATATAATTAAATTTGAAATAGTTTCTGTGAATCAATGGTATTCAGTAGATGCTATCCTGCTTCTTTCCTAAGCTCTTTTCAAGCCTGAAAGCCGATAAATGTTGTTCCTACATAATGACACTTTCATAACAGAAATGATCAGGAGTACGCCCGTCTTTCTAGTTCTGCAAAGCAATGCTGTGATGTTGTTGGTGGTTGTTTTGTGTGCTTTTTTTTTTTTTTTTAAAGGGTGAAGGGGGGCAGGCTGTCTCTCCTAGCTTGCTATGACTTCTCAAAAATTGCTGTCAGTGCTGCGATAAGTGTGGCAGCAAATTCCCTTTTGAGCCATAGGACGTGGGTTTCTGAACCAACCAGGTATGCTTATGCTCTGTTTTCAAGCGTTACCTTAACTGCTTTTTTCTATAGTTGCTTTTGATGACTCCAAGGCGCTGTGACCATCAGATAGCATTGTTGAGCAGTAACATTAAAGTCCCGTTCATTTCCATGAAGCAGAAAGACAGCAGCAAGCCTTGTCACCCTAACTAAGTATTCACAGCACAGCCCCCCTCCCCCAAGGACTGTACTAGCTTCGTGTTAAATCGTGTATTGATTACAAGATTACAGCATTTTGTATACAAAATGTGTGTGGTCATGGGCCTTTAGATTTCAATTGCCTATTTATCTCTGTGGAAAATTGTATAGATTCAAGGGAGAGCTTCTTGGGGTGGTTTGGCACACTGTGGGGAGAAACCAGTTGGGAGTGAGAAGCAGATGCATGCAGAGAGCCCTCTTCTGAGTCCTCTGCTCTTCGGTAGACCCTGGACTTCAGTGTGTGAACAGCAGCAGAGAAGGAGTCACGGTGTTGCCTCTCTTATCACTGATGCACAATGCGTTTTTCTCCTGTGAAACGCCTCCCTCATTTTCTTTAAAGCATCCTGAGGTCTGTGGGGCTGCAGCAGTGTATCTACCTTAATTGAAAATAATAATTTAATTCCATATTATGTGAGTCCATTTAGTCTTTCAAGGCAAGTAATAACAATGAAATATCTCACTTTAATTCTCAGTTCTTAACTAGTTGCTTAATTTTCCCTCCTGTCCTCCAAATTGTTATAAAACTTTGAAAGGCTGTCCTAATATTTAAGAAGTGGCAACTAGTATAAATGTGGGAAATACTGATGAGAAATGCAAACTTGTACAGCTGCGCGCAGAAGTGTGTTAGTGAGAAGTGAAGAATGGCAGATACTGAGAATTTCCTGGTGGTTGGATGCACTCAAAGTATTCTCTTGATACTTGTACGCTATCCATGTAAAGACTACTTGGTCATACAAAGGTCGAGTACATTTAATACAGGGGCATGAGAAGTGCAGAGTAGTCCTGTATTTGCTAGAAAAAAAATGTATTTTGAGACTGTTTTGTACCAGGAGGTGCTGATCTGTTATGATCCCAGTAGGAAAGGCACTCAGACTCTGTAAAGTGTCATCTGAAATGTTACTTATTGGAGCTAACAGCAAAAAGAAAGAGTGAATAGCATAGATGATCGTACATCCCTTTCCATACAGGGAGCCCTGAGCTGTACGGTGTCCAATGGGACTGACCCCCATGCTGCACACCACACGGACCTGTCTGTAGAAAGGGTTACCCCTGTTTTGGCCATTGAAGCTGTTGCAGGCTTGTCCAACAAGGAGACAACTCTGTTCATC